TCTCCCCATCTGTACTGATTATGAGTTATTATTTAAACTCTAAACACAAAAGTCTATTATGGTTTTTGACCTTGGTCATTCATGTATCATTTATATCAAGGTCTTGCACTCTTCTATCCTCTCATAAATTAAACTGGAGTTCATATTTATCAAATATTGATCCACTTGATAATATAACTACAGCACAAACTGCTTCTTGACTCATGGCAAACATTACATATCCTGTAATAGAATGGGTAGTATATTTGTACAGGCACTTGAAGGAGGGTTTTTGGAGTTAAAAAACAGCCTCCAAGTTTTACCAGGTAGATATGTTTATAAAAATTTACTTTGGAAAGATGATGTGAGGCGTGGTCAGTTACTTTACAAGCAATATTCTAATTGAACAAATAAAGTCACAGTACATACAACTGTAGTACTCATGGATCACTGTAAGGCCTGTGCTATAGAAAGTTGGCTAGGAACTTTGGTACTATAGGTTGAACCTCTCCAATCTGGCACTCTTGGGACCTGACCAGTGTCAAATAACTGGAGGTCAATATTGTCTGGAAGTATCACCAACATTTTCACTGCTTACTGTGATGTTAAAGGACATGTAGGGGTAAATTAGAGCTAAGTAACAGCATGAAACACTGAGAGCCAGGCCTGGTGGCTGTAATCAGACTTTATGGGGCTGTGGGTAACTTTACCACACCCATGATAAGCAGACATCCGACTAACTAAAATCATGTTGGACCAGAGATGTTGCTAGAGCAGAAAGTGCCGGACTAGAGATGCTCCAGCTGTACCAGAATTATTTCTGGGCACCATAGCACATTGCTAGGCAACAGCCATTTCAAATACTGGAATGATGTCTTCTGTATCAAAATGTATAAATAAATCTATGGCTCTGAAAGTGGGCTCTTAATGCACTTGTATGAGTATGCAAAGGGAGAAGGTAAGTCAAGGTCTTCACATGTATGCACTGTGAGTGGGCATGCAACTGAGCTTTCTGAAGAAGCAGTGGGGCCACCATCTTGGCCCCCTTCCACCAACCTGTGATTTCAGGCATTTTTTGCATTCTCCTACCCTGAGTAGCAGTGGTTCCTAGAGTTGCTGGAGTTGTGGAGTATTGTCACACTGCCTCTACTCAGGCTTATGGATAATTACCGTGATGTAGCCCATCCCAGTTTTTCAATTATCATAGTTTAAAATAGCTGGTGAGTTAAATATTATCTTCTTCAGTGCCTCTTAAATTCCAGTGTATAAAATGGGAAACCCCTGAAGGATACCAGGAGAAGTGGGGGAGGTGTTCCAGCATCAGAGTCCTTGACTATTTGTAGACCTTCATTGAGGTTCATAGACTGTATTAAATCCTGTAGGTGAAATTCTTGCACTGCTCCAACACAGATATCAGTTTTAGGTCTTAACCGAATGATGGAACATCCAGCAGAAGTGAAGTCACCCACCCAGCTTAGATCAAGTTAAGAGATCTGATAGGATCACATCACTTAAGGAAGTATAAGTTGCTAAACTGGTTTAAAAAGATAGACTTCTGGTAGTAAAAGAAAATATTGTAATTTACCTTTGATGCCCGTCTGTAGCATTCTCCCTTTTCTCTTTAAGGTCCTGGGTTCACCTAAAAGGGAAATTGGTGCCTCCATCCAAAGGAACTCCCAGTGCAAAGAACACAGAAAGTCTGTTCTTTGGGAAAATATTTCACATACAATCTGTTACAGAGGCACATTGGTTAGAGCACAAAAATAAAATAGCAATCCCATTTCCCAAAATAATAAAAAAATAATTGGAGCTATATTAGATAGGGGGAACTCAGGATAGGAGACAAGGGAAAATAGGATCAGAGTAATACACATGAAAACAACTCTATCCTTCCCAACTGTACCGTCAGTCTACATAATTGTTCTCATCCTGCACCTGCCTCAGCACAGAATGTGTTTAAGCTCAGTCTTTGATGGGTGATGCTATACTAAGATCAGTGGCTGACTTGAAACAACAACAACAAAATCCAACTAAAATAACTAAGGTCCTTCTTACAAAGCATCCACAAGAAAAATGGTAAAAAGCTCGCTAGTCTAGTTTCCAGTGTGTAGTAAGGCTTGATTTTAGCTGTGACTTTCTCTCTCTCCTCTGTCTCTTGGGTTTCTGGCTTCTGTTCAACATCCCAGAAATCTTCCAAAGACTCAGTATTTCCTGAGGTAGGAATGTGGAGGATAGAAAGGTCCTCTCTGGTTATGATGTTTCTTTTGTCTACTATACACCAATACAACCAAAACTGATGGTAAATCTAAATCCTTTGTCTTATAGGGTACGTCTACACTAGCCCCCTAGTTTGAACTAGGGAAGCTAATGAGGGCGACCAAAATTGCTAATGAAGCGCGGGATTTAAATATCCTGCACTTGAATAGCATATTCCCGGCCGGTCGCCATTTTGGAAACTGACTAGCCCAAAGTAACTGCCCACGTCTATATGCGGCAGTGAAGCACGATTCAGAGATAAACCCCTTAGTTTGAATTAACTGTTAAATCTCATGGAATTCGAATAAGGGGTTTACCCTCATTCGAACTAAGGGGTTTATCTCAGAATCGTACTTCTCTGCCGTGTGTAGATGTGGGCAGTTACTTTGGGCTAGTCAGTTTCCAAAATGGCGACCGACCGGGAATATGCTAATCAAACGTGGCATATTTAAATCCTGTGCTTTATTAGCAATTTCGGTCGCCCTCATTAGCCTCCCTAGTTTGAACTAGAGGGCTAGTGTAGACATACCCTGAGAGTAGGGCCGTTTTTCTGAAAAAACTTCAATTACGTCCACACAGCAATCACGTTCTTTTGAAACAAAATCGAAAGAACAGAGGGGTTTTTCCGACATTGGTAAACCTTTCTATGAGGAAGAAGCCTTTTTCTGAAAGATCTCTTTTGGAAAAAGGCATGTGTGGATGGGGAAGAAGGAGTTCGTTCAAAAGAAGAAGAAAGAGGAAAAAGCACAGCTGCCCTAGGGCCACTCCATCCATAGTAATCACAGCTTAAATATGAGATAGCGTCCAATCAATGTAGATGCTATCTTTCAAAAAAGCAGATCTCTTTTTTAATACAGACTCTCTCTTTCAGAAGAAGTTTTTCCGGAAGATCTCTCCCAGAAAAGCTTCTTACGAAAGAAGCCTACAGTCTCGGCATAGTCTGAGTTCTGTCTTGTGACAATCCCAGATTGCCTACAATCCAGGGTGGTGATAGATCTGGAAATCAACACTGTCAGAATCAGAGCCTGTGTCTAAACTATATCTCTCTATTGACAGAGAGATATAGATTAGGCACATTGAAATTGCTAATGAAGGGGGGATTTAAATATCTTGCACTTCATTAGCATAAACATGGCCGCTGCTTTTTTAAAAAAAATGGCAGTCTAGACATGGATCTTTCAAAAATACAACCCTTTTTTGAAAGATCCTGTAAACCTCATAAAATGCCATTTTTGAAAAACTCCATTTTGAAAAAAAGTGGTGGCCATGTTTATGCTAATGAAGCACAAGATATTTAAATCCTCGCTTCATTAGCAATTTCAACATGTTTGATTTGCATCTCTCTGTCTACAGAGTGGTGTAGTCTAGACACAGCCAGAGTGTTTACCTTTCCCACCATTTCTGTTGTATCTCCAGGATAAGTCGCCTTTTAGATGGCCAAAGTGATATTTCAGGAGCATAATTTGCAGACAGGGCAGGATTCTAGGGAATCAAATAAAGATAATGTCTGCCCAAGAACATGTTCTAAAGGTGTAGTATTTCATCCAATAGTGTATCACTGGCCTAGTCAAATTAGCTTTAACCATTTACATTTCTTATTTCAGCAAGGCTTAAAATATTTGGTTAAGCTTGAGTGTACTCTCTAGCTGCCTAAGTAATTTCAACCTGCATGGCAACAGAGTGAATATCTTGGCCTAGGCAGACAATATTTTCTTCATCACAGATAATCTTGAGAATCTCCAGCAAATGTTCAGTGTTACCCATCAGGCTGCCAACTGGATGGGATTCCATTCATGAGTAGCAAGTATTGTAAGCACAGGAAGGCTCTGCCTTCCCAAACTGCATAGCACGTCCTCGCCCATGTTCCATCTCCAAGCCCCTGCCTGCCTGGTGTTTCTGTGCCAGAGGCTGGGGCAGGGTGGCCCATCTAGAACCACTCTGGCCACACCAGCAGTCCAGAGTGACTGGGACTGGGACTGATTCGACTGTGTAATCTAACCAGGACAGGAGTTGGCAGCATGGCCTGGAGGGAGGGGGAGGAGGGAGTAGAGGAGCTTCAGGGATGGGTAGGATGCCAACCCGTGGTTGGGCCTTCCCAAGCCAGGGATTCATCTACCACCTAAGATACTTCCTAGCATGCCACTTCAGTGCTAGGAAACGTGCATACTAATAGCAATAGAAGGGACTCAGTCCAGGGCCAACACTGGAAGAGAGACACACATCCCAACATCTTGGCCCGCTCACAGGTTTTCATATCTAGAAGATGCTTGAGGAAATCATTGCTGAGATCCAATCCCCTGCCACGAGAGCCTGCTCACAGGGGAAGGAATTGAAGGGGACCCCCCAGTAGCACACACCCTGGCAAGCAGCATCTGCCACTCACACACACCTCCCCCACTAGTCCACCAGCCTGTCCCCCAGCAGGATGGGATAGAAGTCCTCTTCTCATGGATTACTGACACTGCCAGATCTGGCATGTGTGCAGCATGGAGGGAGCCAAGACACCCCATCGCCCTTCTCCTTCCCGCAGACTCCTGACCTGGCCAGCACCATCCCATGCCTGCTTGTCCCCAGGACATGAGGGAAGTGAGGCTCCCCCTGGAGATGTCCATTCCCCTGCAGGAAAGGGCCCACTGTCCAGGCCTCATATGGCCTTACTCCAAGCACATTGCCTTTGTCTGACTTGAGACCTTTCGATGTCATCTCAGAGATAAGGGCAAGAATTCATGCACCCTGTCTCCTCGAATGACTACCCTTCTCTTTAGTCTTCACAGCTGGATCAGCTGCAAGTGAGGTGCCCGCAATACCTCCTGCGCCAGCCTCCCAACCCCGTGAGAGCCACTGCTGCAGACAAGTCCATGAGGACCGGGAACAGGAACACATTACCTGCTTACATTGCCTCCAGCAGTCTCTGGAGCAGCAGGAGCAGCCAGTGGGAAGTGGACCAGGAGCTGCACTGCAACACCTGGGGGCACCTGGCCCAAGATACCTGCAGCATCTGTGCGGCATACACAGTAACTGTCAACTGCATGCTCGCAGCTAATGAGCAATCCAGCAGCCATCCTCCCACTCCCATCCCAACTCCTGCCCCCACCCCAGCTCCTGCCCCAGCTTCCACCCCAGTGGCTTCCCTCCCCAGCCACCTCCAGGGCTGCCAACAGCCTCACATGCAATATGGTGGGACCACCTGAGGCAGGCACCAATCCCATCCCAATCCCCGAGTCTCCACTCCCCCTCTTCCCACTCAGGTTCTTACCCCAATTCCTCCCCAGTTTTCTGTAACACAATTTGAAAAACAACAACAGAGTTTATTGGTTCAAAACAAAAGGTCTTGTTTATTTTATCAGCAGGAGAGGGGGGAAAGTAGAGTTAGAGGAAAGGCACAGAGGGGCAATGCATAGGCCCCTTCTGGGGAGGCCCGGGGAGAGTCTCATAGGTGTACTTGGCTGAAAGTCTCCCTCATAGCCACCCGGATGTGTACAGCCCCCTGATGGGTCGACATGATGGCAGCTATGCATGGCTATTGAAAGGCCCTGGTGAGCCCCTCAGTCTCTGTCCTCCATCCTGGCAGGAACATCTCCCCCTGGTTCTCACAAATACTGTGGAGGATGCAGCATGCCGCCACTATTTGGGGGATGTTCTATTCACCGTGATCCAGGGGGGGGTGAGGAGGCAGTGGTAGACAATATTCCTTTGAGATGCACAAAGGCACCCTCCATCACTATGTGGGCCCTAAGCCTGGCATTAAACTGTTCCTTGGTGGGGTCCAGGTGGCCAGTGTGGGGCTTCATCAGCCATCAGAGGGTAGGCTGCATCCCCCACAATGCATATCAGCATGTCTATATCCCCGACCCTGATGGTGCAGTAGGGGAAAATAGTGCTGGCGTGCAACTTCTGGAACAGGCTGGAGTTGTGGAAGATGCAGGCATTGTGCTCCTTCCCCGATCACCCGATGTTGATGTACCCCTTCTGGGTTGGGGACCCAGATGGAGAGGTGCACCCTACCTCCCACCCAGACCTCACACCGTCAGCCCCTCTTGCACCGCCATCCCTAGCCCACTCACTGGCAGCCCTGTGCCACACACTGAACCCCTCATTTTTATCCCATCCCAGAGCCTAGGCAGCCTACAATACCCACTAACCCTGGAACCCCAGAAGAATTAATCCTTGAACCTCAGTCCTCCCCTCCTGACAGGGCTGGAGCACCAAGGGAGTGGGGCATGTCAGTGAGGGTTGGGGAAGGGGTTGGAGGGGCATTTTTTTCCTTCTTACTTGTGTGGTCCCAACTGATTTTCCTGTGGGGCACTGGCCCCTGACGCAAAAATGGTCCCTCATCTGTGTATTAATAAAGACACTATTGAAACCTCTTTGTGTTGGACATAATATTTTACTTTATTTAAAACGAAGCCTGGCCAACAAGGCCCCAATCAGGGCCCAGCCCCCATCTGGCTAGAGTGTCCTATCCCCAGCCAAGACCCTTGGGCAGGCCCCATAATCCAGCCCCCATATGGCCGCAGGAAGGGCTGGTGGTGGCCCCCTCTCCTGCAACAGCACAAGTGGGAGAAGAAGCTACAATCTTGCTGCAGCGGACAGATGGGGGTTGGCAAAAATAGAAAGTAAGGGGTGCAGCCCCCTAGTTATGTTAATTGTGTTGGAGTTCTGTTTCCTCTACCCTGCTTCCTAAGAGCTGAAATCACAGGACATGGCCAAGAAGTGGATGGAAGAGAATGGTGACTGAGCTCTAGCTGGGGGTACTGCAGAGCTATTTTAGGATATCAGAAGTATCCCAAAATAGCTATTCTGAGCCACAAACCAGAGGTTCCTAAGGAGGAGGCCCTAAGGAGAGTTACTGGAGTCCTTGAGAGAACCTCTCCTTCAGGGCCTCCCAGATGTGCACCCTGGCCTGATGGGCCTGTCGGATGGCATTCCAAAATATGAAGGAGGTGAGCCAGGCTCACAGCTCTAAAAAGGTGGCCTTCCGCATGCAGAGGTTTTGGAGCCACTGCTTGTCATCCCACCGCTCCATGACCAGTCAGTCGGTCTCACCAGTCCAAACTGACGTTGAGCCTCCAATAATGCTTCTTCACTGTGGGGTGCGGTTGCCAGAGTGTAGCAGCCGCACCCACAGAGAGGGTCCTCAGAATAAGCTTGGGGGGTCCAGCTCGTGCAGGACCAGGAAGGCAGCTGGAATAAAGTGCTGCAAAAACTGCAGCATGGCCGTGTGGGGCCATCACATTCCCGGGGGTAGCTCTGGCTCCATGGCTCAATGGAAAAAGCTGTGGCATCCAAAAACAAAAGGGCAACCACAGCAGGCACTGTGAGAGCTGTGCTGTCCCTCCAAGAGGTAGCAAGCATGCAGCAGAAGCAGAGGAATGGCTGTCCGGGGAAGTCCCTTGTCCTGAAAAGCTCTGGCACTAGCACTTGGAAGCAACTGGTGATCTAAAGCCCTGCTTGAAGTGGTTCTGGTGGCCTTTTATGTGAGAGAGCATCCAATGAGTCTAAAAGCTGCTTTTTTGATGTGTTTTTCTGTGTTGACGTGCTCTTTTTGAAGGAGTTTTTTTGGAAGATCTCTTCCGAAAAAAGCTTCTTCCAAAAAAAGCCTTCAGTCTCGACATAACCTAAGGGAGGTACTGACTGCCCACACAGATCATTTATTTCATTTATAGTTGTGAATGCTCAGCATGTCTAACAATCAAGCCCCAAATCTTTGGCACCTAAATAGTGACCTGCTTTTCAGCAGTGTTGAACACTTCTGGCTTTCATTAACTTTAAATGAAGTGCAGCTTTGAGTACCCTGAAAATTGATGCGACCTGCTTAGATGCCTAAAAATGTATTAAGAGATTTAACTTTAAGCCCCCAAGTTTGGAAACTTTGTTTATGGACCCCAGTTTTGTACTGAACTTGAATAAATCCTCCCTTTTTTCTCCGTATATAAAAAAAACTTGCTGTTGTCAACATTTTCTATAACTCTCTGCAAAAGGCAGCAGGTAGCCATTCTACAGTTACTTTCCCCATGCAAATGGAATCTTTAGAGAAATTGTTAGTGTTCACAAGTCAAACACTCTCCTTTTGAAGCTTCATAGAACACCTTGTCAGTGTACATAGGATTGATTGAAAACCATCCTCTAAGCTATCTTGAGTTCATTCATTAAATTATCTTTCATAGCAGTAAAATTGTGTTTTCTGTCATCCTAGGTTTATGCATTTGCTGTAATAATCATGAGTGTGCTATTTTCTAGATAATTGCAAACATTGGCAATTCACATTAAAGTTTATGCGTCAGGATATTATAGGTACTGTAAATGTTAGGCTTTATAAAAATGCAGGATTAATTTGATACACATCTTTTATGCACTTCCACTAACTGATGTATAAGGTATTAATACATTTAGCCTGAAGAGTTTCATTACTATCTGATTGCCTTTCATTTGCATATCACCTCATTTTCTTGGTTTTCCACTTGCTGTGACATTGACACAAAGAGACTGTTGTGTCACAAATCCCAGTATCAAAGGTGAGTGAGAACCTTTTACAAATGTGCTCAAGGAAGAATCTTAGCTGGAGTTGGCAAGGGACTAAGAACTATGTAGGGGAGAGCTATATCACCGTCCCAGTGATAGAAATACTTTGTGAGTAATGATAGTATGACCAATGAGGAAACCTTTACAAACCTCACCCCAATTAGGGTATATCTACACTAAAACTGGAGCATGACTGCAGTGTACATAGGCATGCTTAAATTAAGCTAACTAGCTTGGGTGCCAATAGCAGTGAAATGTAGCAGCTTGGGTTTGCCACCCAAATATGTACTCATGTGCCATGGTGTATTTGTGTAGTTAGCTTGACTACTAGATTTAAGTTAGCTGGGGTACAGCAGTACAGGCTACAGTCATACTTCTAATGAGAGTCTAGACATACTTAGAGAGGTAAGCATGCTGCTTTGCAGCCATTACTGTCATCCTCATTCCAAGGCATCTTATGTTGTTCTTAAGTCCCTACTCTGTGAAGAAGTAAGGCTGGTGTATCCACATAGTGGTGGTTTAATGAGTCTGATCTTTAATCCCACCTCCTGTCAATAATGCGAGTCCCTGGAATCCCCAGTCAAGCTGGCCTCTGAGGGTACATATAGACTACGTCTAGATTGCATCCCTTTTTCGTAAAAGGGATGCAAATTAGACGTATCGCAATTGCTAATGAAGCAGGGATTTAAATCTCCCCCGCTTCATTAGCATAAAAATGGCTGCCGCTTTTTTTCTGCACGGAGCTTTGCCTAGACACGGATCTTTCGGAAAATAAAGCCTTTTACAAAAGATCCCTTATCCCTTATTTTAAGAGGGATAAGGGATCTTTCGGAAAAGGCTTTATTTTCCAAAAGATCTGCGTGTAGATTGGCGCTTTTTTCCGGCAAAGCTCCGTGCGGAAAAAAAGCGGCAGCCATTTTTATGCTAATGAAGCGGGGGAGATTTAAATCCCTGCTTCATTAGCAATTGCGATACATCTAATTTGCATCCCTTTTATGAAAAAGGGCTGCAATCTAGACATAGCCATAGAGTGCAGGTTTCTTTCGGAAGAAGCTTTTCCAGGAGAGATCTTCCGAAAAAACTTCAGAAAGAGAGCATCTACACAGCAAAAGCACATCAAAAAAGCAATCTGCTTTTTCAAAAGATAGCATCCATACTGAATGGACACTCTCTCGTATTTAAGCTGTGATTATTATGGACGAAGTGGCCACCAGGGCACCTGTGTTTTTTTCTGGAGGCCTCTTCTTTCGAAAAAGTTCCCTCTTCCATGTCCACACATGCCTTTTTCTGAAAGAGCCCTTTCAGAAAAGGCATTCTTTCTCATAGAATGAGTTTACCAATGTCAGAAAACCCTCCTACGTTCTTTCAAAAGAACACAATAGCAGTGTGGACATAAGTGAAGGGTTTTTTTTTTAATGGCTGTTTTTCTGAAAAAACTCTGCAGTCTAGACACACTCAGTCTGATTCCCTCCACAGCTATGGAGAGAGTCAACATGTCTTCATAAATTAGCATTTCACATATAGATATCTGAGCTGCTCTATGGGTTGGATAATAAATGATAGCGGTTTGATGTTCTCAGCTGGTCCCCGATCACCAAAGAACATAATGATGGATCCAAATTCTATTAAGTAAAAGGAAGGCCACTTATCAATTTTTAAATAGCATTGGAGCTTATTACTTTAAAAGTCAATGGAATTTGAGAACACCATGCTTAACTTTAAGCATGTGCTTAAATGCATCATATTCAGAAGAGCACATAATCACATATTTAAAAGTTAAGTGCAAACATTTTCCACAAAAAATTAAATGGAAGTTTTTCAGGGACTTTTTTTTTTCAGTTAGCTCGCCTTATAATATATACACAGTACAGCATAGTTGTCTTTGGGAGCCATAATGTGGCAGCTTAAAATGTAAGCATAGAATGAAATAAATATACTATTATAATTTACTTTTATATTGTTGAATAGTAAAATATTTGCGCTTTGTCCCTGTCTTTGGCTCAGTTGAGCCTCAGTTTATACAATTCAAGCCATAGTTAATTTATTTGAAACACACAAATACTTTAAGGAAGCACCATGATTATATACAAGCAGCTTTGTTTAGAAAAATATATTTACAGCCTGGGAAACTAGTATTAAAACCAGAAAAACAAATAAAGTCAGAAGGCCATTTGGTGGCAGAATAGTTGGATATAAAAGATATGTATAGTTCATGGCCTAAGATGTCACCTTAATTAAGTTATAGTTATTTTACATGCTGTGAAAGAAATAAGAAAAATGGTTAACATCTCTTTTTATTACACCTCACAACTGGATTATACTGTGCATACAAGCGCATGAAGACTTTGGATTGAACATTAAAGAGTGACAGTGGGTCATTTATTCTATTCCACCCTAAGGGGGGGGGGGAATGAGTCTGCTCCCAATAATTTCTGTAATGGTGACTTTATAATGATAAGAAGAGAAATAAACAAGCTGCATTTTATTTTGTGTGGGGGTGAGTGTCCGGGTCTGTCCCATGGGTGGAATAGCTTTTCATGGGACCTCCATGAATTAGTTCCTGTTTGAACTAGAGCAGTAGTGGGCAACCTGTGGCC